TGATTCGCAGGATTGGTGTTCACAGCTGAATTTTAGGGGTTTTAATATAATATAATATAATATATAATTTCATGTATTTGTCCTCTGTTTGAACGGTTTAATTTGATCAAAAACGGAAACGAAAAGGACAAATAAATCACCTTATGAAAACTTCAATATAATATCACGATGCACATACATTAAATAGCAAATATTGCAGCACTGGGTTCTACTAATACTAGTGATGCTTCGATTATCTTGAATAGAATAATAACAGTAAATATAAATATTTACTTCAGACAGAGCAGTTTACACTGCCTAAAAGAGCAGTTTACACATGCGATTCGGGTCAGACGAACATTACTGTACGTTACTGTAATGAGTTTCGAGTCAGAAACACCAACAAAAACACAAATGATCAATTCTAAATCAATAACAGTCTATCTACACATTCATTACACACACAAACACTCATTTATTCTTATAACTTACGTCCTTTGCACTGGTTTTCTTCTTTTTCGTCCTGCATACATGTTTAAGGCGTCTGGCCACTCCAACTCTTCGGCTCCAATGAATCCAACCCACAATTTACAACAGATAAAATCCCAATCCTTCTACTCAAACAAAAAACTGTAAACAAGAAAAATCTATTTTCTTCTACAGGTATGATTAAAGGTGTTAAAATTCAAAAATCCGAAGAAGTATAATAAATATAATATAGTATAAACTGTGCAAAAAAGGCACGCAGAATCCCTACTGCCTCAAACTGCATTCAATATCAGTCTAATAAACTAAAAACGCCAAAACAGCGTTAAAAAGTGTAATTCCTCTTCAAATATACTTCAGCATTCATATGAGAAGTGACAGCAGGTCTTCTTCATCATAGTCTTCATCCTCAGTGCTGCTGAGCTTGTATAAACAGCCCTCCAAAGTCATATGCTTGGACAAAACAATACATTATAATCTATATTTACACAGAATAAACCAAATCCACAGACATAACTTGTTCCAGCTTCGTGTCTAATTCATTTTTGTCCGAGCTGCTCCACTAAGTCCCCCAAACTGCGCGCCCCCGACATCAGCTTGCAGGGCACGCGCATTTGGTTGACCAGGCAACCGGCACAGATTTGCGCGGGAGCGCGCGCAGAGCATCAGAGGCCACGGTTTAAAGGCAAAGGGGAAAAATCCCCTAGGATACAGGACGTCAGGGTTTACGTCTTCTGTGATTGGTCAACGATTACGATTACTCGCTTATGACAAAAATAATGACATTTTGTTAAATTTTATGGAGAAATTCTTTGAAAAATAATGTCCCCGCTATGCTTTTATGTGTCTCTAGGGAAAAGGTTTTTATTTATTTATTTATTTATTTTTTGTTCCTGTATGTTGTATGATTGTAATAATGTGAATAGGTTGTGTTGTATTTATATGTTAAAATCTTCTGTTAATCTTGTTTGAAGCAAAAAAAAAAGAAAAAAAGAAAGAAAGAAAAAAGATTACTCGCTTATGAATATTAATAACGAAACGTGACGCGCAGAGGACTTGCAGAAAAGCAGACGTCGGCCGGTGTTGTGCCCATTTTCGACCCCCTGCCAAATTATTACCCCTCTCGTTTAAATCGCTATCTGATTGCCTAATCCTAACCCCTCACCCTCCCCCACACCTAACCCTAAACCTACCACTACTAGGGGGGTAACAATCTGGCAGGGGTCAGAATTGGGGACAACACCGGAACGAATCATACTATCGGAATTATGAATATTAATGAGATTATATGATGGACGGGAAGGTTACCAAGAAAAGCTGGCGAGTCTGATTAATATTAATTAGACTTCTGGACACTTCTAGCCAATCAGGGAGCAGAGCACTTTTTTTGTTGTTGTTGTTTTGACAAATGTGACCCTGGACCACAAAACCAGTCATAAGGGTCAATTTTTTGAAATTGAGATTTATACATTATCTGAAAGCTGAATAAATAAGCTTTCCATTTATGTATGTTTGTTAGGATAGGACAATATTTGGACGAGATAGGCTACAACTATTTGAAAATCTGGAATCTGAGTGTGCAAAAAAAAAAAAAAATCGAAATATTGAGAAAATCGCCTTTAAAGTTGCCTCAATTTTTGGCTATTGCTACAAATATACCCGTGCTACTTATGACTGCTTTTGTCACAAATGACCTTACCTCTGTAAGAATCATATGTAAATTCAATAAAAATTCTAATATATTTTTTTAAGTAGCCTACTACGAAATCGACAATTCTCAATAACAAATAATTTATTTGAATCTAAAAGTTTTAAAATAAAATTTACTCCCTAACAAATTAAAATTCTATGTTTAATGGTATGAAAAAACGATTTATTCACCATTAACCGTTTTATTGCAATCTTACATGTCTCATGTGTTTGCAAAGAAGGAAACAAGAATTTGCAACACGGTGAAATCCCGGGGTTAATTTCCTTTTTGCAAGCTCCTGTTATTATGACGCATCATTTCCTGCGCTTTCGGAAGCTTTTTTTATAAGGGTGTTCGACATTTATTGACTATAATGACTGTATTATATAATACTTGTGTATGGACCACAGCAAAATCCCTTTTAATGCATTCAAGCTACTGACTCTTTCATACACATCGCACACATCTGTTTTATACGCATGCATTTAAAGGGTAGTAATGAATAAAAGATGATTCGAAAATGATTGCATATCCCCCCCCAATTTGGTTCTAGGACACCCTGTAAAACTGTGGTCGACCACACCGCGGGGTTACAAGAAAACCCACATGCAACGTTTATTTCGCTTTTTTTTTTGCCAATTGAACACGGCGAAAAGACTCATGTCAACATACTTTCCGAAAAGTTTCACTTCACACTAGTTATATATAATGTAGATGCATGTGTGTATAGCCTGTATTTGTGGGACATCCATTTACTCATACAGATTTTACAGTTGTGCAGAACAATGTACAAAATAAGATATAGGGTACACATAAGCATTTACAATGCTGGGTGCACAAGCAAAGAAACAAACATACAATGATACACTAAATAAACAAAGATACTGCATTTAGAGAGGCCTCACAAACACGTCATTATGCAAGAAGCAGGCATCTGAAGTGTTAAATGCTATTATTTCTTCCTAAGGGATTCGTAGTTTAGTGGTGAATGGGAGGACGTCCTAACAAGTGCGTGTATGAGCGATTTTTTTTGGCACTGGGGGATTTCAATGCTGTTAGTGAGGTCAATTTGTCATTTACTGGTGCTTAGTCCACTACTAACCTCAATGGCACTTGAAGGCACAGGAAATGAAAGGTCATTTTCTGGACCACTAAACCTCATCTAGTAACAAATTACTAATATTTAGGCACCTTAATGAAGTCATGAAACTGCCCTAAACGGCTTCCTAAGTAGATACACAGGATTTAATTTGTAGTAATTATCATTGAAAACTACATTTCAGTTACAAATATCAGATATTTATTACAGTGGTTCTCAACTGGAAGGTCGCAGCCCAAAAATCGGGTCGCAGGTCTGTTTTGATTGGGGGAAAAAAATGACCTAGACACCACAACGTGTTTTAAACAAAACTTACTGGCTGCAGAAATGAATATTAGTTTAGTTAATTTCATTTTTATTTAATATTAAATTAACATTATTATAACATCTTATTCAATTATGGGCATTTAAGTAAGCAAAGCAAAGCTAGGGAAAGAAAATAGATATTTTTTTAAATTGTGCGTCATTTTTAATTTCACAACTGTTTTATACGCATGCATTTAAAGGGTAGTAATGAATAAAAGATGATTCGAAAATGATTGCATATCCCCCCCCAATTTGGTTCTAGGACACCCTGTAAAACTGTGGTCGACCACACCGCGGGGTTACAAGAAAACCCACATGCAACGTTTATTTCGCTTTTTTTTTTTTGCCAATTGAACACGGCGAAAAGACTCATGTCAACATACTTTCCGAAAAGTTTCACTTCACACTAGTAGTATAGTATAGAAATAGTGCATACTGACACACATTCAAAATATATACATTAGCGCCCCCATGTGGTTAACACATCTATCTATCCATCCATCCGCATTTACACAGATGTCTAGTAAAATAACCAGCTGAAGCCATTGAGTCATCAACCCCCTTTTAATATAATAAAGATATCAATGAGGGGCACAACAAAAATGAATAATTTGATAATACAAATACAAAACAAACGAGAGCTATATTTTACATATATATATATATATATCATACACTTTTTATTGGAAAGCAAAGCAAAGCTAGGGAAAAAAAAAAGATATTTTTTTAAATTGTGCGTCATTTTTAATTTCACAAAAAAAAAAAAAAATGTGTGAAAAACTTTAACTAAGAGTATATAAGATACATAAAATTCCAGCTATGAAATTATCAAAACAATGGAGCCATTTTGTACAATAATGGCTAATGGCTTTTGTACAATAAACGCCACTGTAAAATCTGAGTCCTGAAGCAAAGTCATTTGAGAACCACTGATTTCATATACAGCACTGTGGACGGAGCTACCCAGCGCAAGAAGAGGTTTCATAGCCTGGTTAGGACATGGCGTAGTAGATAGATTTTAAAGCGTGAAAACGAACATCAGCGCAAACCAAATCCATCGCTATTATTTGTGCGTAATCAATCGGTCAAGTGATAAACGGATCAATCAGCCAACTGATCATCCATTAACCAACCATCAATCAAACAAACAAATCTTCTAGCGATTACTAACCTCCTCTCTTAGCCAGCAGACATCTGGCAATAAAATACACAACGCTCTTATTTACATTACAACTCCTTTAGCTTTCAGTTAAAATGAAATCAAAGGGGAAAAAAGTCGCTAATCTCAGAAAACGAAAGCTGTTTGTAGCTTATTTCTCTGGATTTAAACATTCTTCGAAATATTTGGGATAATGTAAGTACACAAGTCAGCAAAATATATAACACTGTTCTAGTGGTTTTTGGATATTTTAATAAAAAAATCTTACATATTGTGCCTTTAAGAAGACTGGCAGAAAGGGTCCTGTAACTCTTGAACTGTGAGGCTATGTACAAAACTTAGCAAACTAGCATAATCGATTCCGTCCATGCAAACAACAACCAGTTGTTAAAAACATTGCTTCTCAGATTCAATTATAGCTGCCATTTCAATTCCTTTCCTCCTCTGCAAGCCACGATCATTTCGTCCAAAGAGAGTGAAGACGGGAGGGAAATAAGTGGAATATCCTTTGGGCAGAAAGAAATTAAGGCACACAGTGTTCCCATTTCAGATGATGAAAGGAAAAGGCTTTGGGTGCATGAGTTTGAGGGTTGTATATATTTGCTGTTATTATCACACCATACTCTCTGTTCTTACTGCAGGGAGAAAGAATAAATCTCAGAAGCAACAGCGGTCAAAAACATGAACAAAATTAAGGCCTATTCAAAGAGTTCATTTTGCACAATTAAACCAATCAGTCATATTTCTATAGCTACAGCATCTCATACAAATATGTTTTGGTATACATACACATTCAAAGTGCTGATACAATCCAATCAAATGGCTTCATATTCTTTCAAAATAAGGCACAAAGGGGCCTACAAACTTTACGCCTCATTCACGAAACAGAATTTCACCCACTGCGCTTGTTCTAAACTTTTTGGCTGCTGCTGTATTTCCTGATTGACCAAGAATGAAACTACAGACGAATAAAGACTTTCACTGTGGCCATTAAAAAAATTCAAATTTTCTCTCAACAAACATTTACTTTTGTTTGGAATCCTTCCTGATAACTAGTCTGTTCTGTCTTTAGAAGACATTTGATTTTACCTTTCTTCTGGAGGCAGGATATGCTGGCTGCTGTGATTCTCATGGCACGCAACACGATTGAAGAATTCCTAGAATTCTTCCATATAAGTGTTAACGCAAACAGAAAGCAAGAGGGAAATCAGCAAATTTAAAGTGGACAAAAATGGCTCAATGACATTTCCATAATTTCGATTATATGCATAAAAAGTACAAAAGAATTTTTTAACAAACAAACAAAAAAAAACTACAATAAATGATAAGTGATAACATTCAAATATTGTTGTAATACACATGAAACATATGGTTAACGCAACCATAAAAGTGTGGCAAGACTAGACGGTTTTTACTCGTTGAATGGAAAAAGTGTTGCGGAGAAGAAAAAGTGGCCTGGGACTATTCATTTTTCCTTGGGCAACGTTACAACTTGCAGTGGGTGGAGCTTCAGGGAAGTTCTGGGAAAGTTTTGTAGTCAACAAATTCAATGATTTGCTCTGACAGTCCAATAGTGCCACAGAGGCCATCAGTAGAGTATTAATTTCTTTCGAGAAAGTGGGGTACATTGATAACACTAAGGTTTAAAGGTCTACAGATGGCTAAATAAAAGGGTTCGGCTGAGGCCGTTGCCCTCTCCGAGACAGACTTTCCCTTTTTGAGTCGAAACATTACCCCAATAAATAGCATCTTGTGTGCACCATGAATTTCCTCAGAATCTCATCCCTGCAATTAAAAGGTTCCACCGTTGCTTCTGCATACTTCATAAATGAACTCTAGACTACCTCGCACACACATACACACAAACACACACTTGCTCACACACCTCTCCTTGCTAGTACACTCGCTATCTCACATTTTTTCCGTGCCAGAATGGCAAAACAAAACAATATCCTTCAGGGACGAAAGGACACGCCACTGCTTATTTCTCATCAGAGAGGGTGTGAACAAGTGAAAAAGTAGATAAGTGTGAAAAAAAGTACATAAGTGTGAAAAAATGTGTGGTAAAATCGCTTTTTAAAGTTCTGTAATGTCTTGCAGGTTTTCAGCCAAGTGTGTCTTTAGAAGCAGATGCATGTCTCTCGAGGGACAAACAAGTTGCTGTATTTATGTGTTTTTTTTTCCTAGAAAGAGGTACAGCACTGTTGATATGTCAGTCGCTGTATTGAGCATGATCTAATAGTCACAGCAATTGCTTTGGTTGTTCTCGGAAAAGTAGGTGGTTCCATTGGCCAGTGACGGAAATTGGAATGTTCCTTTTTCCTTAAGTGGATGGTTTGCGATCTGTGGAAGGACAAAATTGAAACCATTAAAGGAATGTTTTGTCCATTCTGTGGCAATCATGTCATGATATTCATTAAGTTGTGCATGGAAAAGAATTTAAAGCAGAACTCTCTCCATTTTGAACTTTTGTGACCAGCCTGTGGTTACTGATGCATTGTTTTGATGGCTTCCTATACTATACAGGGTTTTGACAAAAATGTAGCAGTATCCCTGTTGGGAAAAAAAACAAAAAACGGAATAAGCTGGTTGGGAATGTTTTGAAGCATGGTAACTGGTTTGAGCTGGCTTAAACTGGTCCTTATTTGGTCATGAGCTGGTTTAAGCTGGTTATGAGCTGGTCCTGTGCAGGAGCTAGTAGCCAGTTTGAATTAGCTCAAACTAGCTACCATTCTTCAAAACATACCTAACCAGCATATGCTGTTTTTTTCAACTGGGATAGTATGTAAATGACTCTAATGAACCAGTTCTTTTAATGAATGAAGACACTGTTTTGTATAATTTACAGAACTAACAGAGAGAACACGTTCTTCATATCTAAGCAAAATGGACAATATGACTGAAAAACACCCAAATTAATCAAAATCGAGAGCTTGTATATCAGAACTGAATTATATCAAGAAATATGACACCTAGTCCTACTCTGGACTGCCCTCAATTGTTTCCTTCCACAATGTTGAAAGAAAACAACTGAGCACATTGGGAATTAATTAATCTTGAGTGTCTCTGTCCACCTCTAGACTTCCTCAAAATGATATGGTTTTTCTTTACACATGGTGGCAGTAGTAACATCCCAAAGTGTTGTTTCTCACAAAGACTTGTGACTGATGGTAGAGCTGAGATAACCCAACCGGTTAAAAAAAGAACTGGATGTGTGATGACACAATGAGCCTGGGGTGAGAACAGGGTAGTTCCGCTATTCTCAACAAACTTCAAGACTCAATCTAAAAATAGGGAGTGAGCACACACCTGGTGCTTTGATCTCTGTATTAGAACAAGCTAGTTTGAAGTTATAATTATACCATGGATTACATTAGTACAGTTTACCTGTGTCTGGCCATTGCAGGAGAGATACTGCTGAGCAAGAATGTTATCTGGAGTTAACCCAAGTGGCACTCGACAGGCCATGGGGCTGTTATTGGTGTCTTCTTGTGGGATGACCGACGTGCCCACGATTGACTCGCTAGGACCTCTTTGGTAGTAGCAGGATGCTTGTGTAGGACTCTGGGTAACCAGACCTTTAGCCCTCTGGCAGGATGACACTGAAGATATCGGATCTGCAGAACCATACTGCATCCCGTTCACTGACGGTTGAGGAGTGCCTGTGAACATGCAGCTGTTGGTGGTCTGATGAGGGCTTTTGTTGATAATCTCTCCTTGCTGAGGATAGATGCTATTTGCAGTTGTCTGGGGCAGGAAACCAGACCCAAATCCTTGTGCGTTAGTGTGCGACATCAGTTCTCCAAGCAGATCTCTTTGGAAGTCTGTAACTTGGCCGATGAAGCCCGTCATATTCTGTTGCCCACTGGAAAACGATTTGGAGACCTGTTGAGGCTGTGATTGCTGCCAGCTAGGCAGTCCTGGATTGGCAGCGTTTTGAGTGTGAAGAGAAAACTGTCCTTGTAGTTGGGGAGTTGGGCCAGAGTGTAGTCCTGCATCTTGTACACCTGAAATGTTACGGGTGCAAGAGTTCAGCAGGTCATCCATCAAATTGTTGCTGTCAGACACCCACAGAGGGTTCTGACTGATTGACAGTTGTTGAGGAAGGGAATTCTGGCCATTGAAGCCCATTGGCTGGGCGGAAATGCCCTGCAATAAAGGACTTTGAAGAGGGAGAGTCATTGTGTTGTGATGGGGCTGGTTTCTGGTCTGTAGGTTTCTCTGGCCACATGGCACCATTCCGTTCTCTTGCACGGCACCTTGCAGACCAAGCCTGACTTGGGTCGGCTGCTGCATGGCAAGAGAAGGATTAAACATAATGTTATTATTGCCAGGCATCTTCTGGGTTGTCTGTTCTAGTCCGAATGATTGGACAAAAGTGTCGCCAGGTAGCATCTGTGGCCCCATATGGGTGAGCTTCACCATCCCTCTTCCAGGGCTACTGGCGTCCACTTCATCTTGGATGTTCATTCCGACGAACCCACCCCCACTTGGGGATCCACCGAGTATAACTGCCTGGCAGTTGAATTCCTGGTTAACAGCTACGTTATTCTGTAGCTCCATTTCTGGAAGACACTCAGGCACCTCAACAAATGGACCCTGGCTCTTGAGTTGTTCGGGCAATTGAATACCATTTTCCTTAAAAAGTGCATCCTCGACATAAGAGAGGATGTCATTGGTGATGATTTCATTAAGTTCCATTTCGTTGTTGTTGTTCATCCTGAGCAGAGTGTTCTCCCACTCCTTCAGGTCCGATTCGTCCACGTCAAACCCCTGAAGGCCACAAATACTGCTGTCCCCAATAATCTGCTGCAAGCTTTCCATCATGTCCTTTACCACACTTTCCTCCTTTATCCCAGCCACAGTGTTTGGGGCTGACGGCTGCCAGGTGTTCCCAGGGACATTGAGCAGGGCGTGGCTATCCCTGAAAGCCTTGTCAAGGGTAAACTGGGAATTGGGGTCATTGTTCTTGTTGTAGACAGAATGATCCTGTTTCAGCATGCAGCCGAGAAGAGAATCTGGGTCCAGAGATGGAGGTTTGTGCATCTTCTGGCCTTTGCTTGGATTTTGAATGTCAGCGATGTCCAGTGTGGGGCCAGTCTCATACAAGACACCCTCACCAGTGGCGCAGCTAAAAGGTAGCTGCAACTTCCTTTGACGGAGGTGTTCCTCACCCTCCTCATTACTATAAAATACAGATATTATAATAATGAGAGACACAAAGAGATTAGAGCAACAACAACTTTCTTAAAATGCTGGTTTAACTTACGTTAGTGCTCTTTGTCGAGCGATAATGAAGTCTGGTCTTCCTCCTTTATAAACAAGCCTAGCATTGGCCTGCACCCAGATCCATGTACCCCCTTTCGTGAGAAGTCTGAAGACAGTTAAACCACTTTCTCCAGTCTTTATCACTATGAGAAAGAATAAGAGAAAAAAAAACATTTTAAAAGAAATGCTATGGAAATCAAACTGCTAGTTTTATGGAGTTCATAAACACCAAAAATGATGGACATGGCTTTGACTTAACATTAAATATCTGGTCAAGATCTGGCATAACTCACTTCTGATATGGTTGTCAGCACAGTGCATCATGTCAGCAGCATGAATGAACTGATAGCCGGAGCCTCTCATACACAGCTCAATCTCAGTGTAGCCAAGAACCACCTTTCCCCTGCAAAACGAGAAACAGATAGGAAAAATGTTAACACTAGGTTTGTACCATTTCCCCAAAATTTGTTGGCCCAATCTGAAGTTGCTTTTGCTTCTTAATCAAAGGTACCTTGTGTCAACACCCATAGGTGTAAAGTCCAGCTTGTGTTTGGTTTGGAAAAGAAGAGTTTTGCTCCTGATCTCCAGGATAGAGGGTGGCTGGAGGGGTGTGGCTATGACAAAAAGAGCCAGTTGAGGGTGGGCCAGGGTCCCATCTTCAGCCAACTTGTTTTGCCCATGGAGATATTTCAGCCTCCCCTGGAAGTTCAGGGCCTTGGGGGGCAAAGGGAAGGACAAGAAAGTAATTTTAGCCCCATGAGGGTCCGCCACTGAGTGTAAACAATTCACAGCAGATTTATTTATACAGCTGTTACTGTATCATTGTGTACACAGAAAATCAAACATTGTTGAGTCTAGCTCAAAAGGTTAATCTTGGAATGATTATAAAATATTGATTCTACATAGGTATAAAGTCGCAATAGAGGTCTAGGATGTTTACCAGGAAGCCTGATGAGTTGTCAAGGAGGCACCGGAATCGGCAACAGAAACTTCGTTCCAAGAAGGATGAGTTTTCTGGAGGGATGTGTTGAGGGTTGTAGTTTACCATGTCTCTGGTGATGTCACTGCTGCTTTGAATTGCTGAAGACCGATTGGTTGTGCCAAACAAAAGGGGGAAAAAACTGTGATGTAATCGGCTGTGAATCACTAGCAGTGTTCATCATCCTGGGTTTTTACAAGACTCCATTTTATAAATCCGAACGGATCCTCCCACAGCTGTCTTGCTCTCCACAAACATACTTTCTTGATTCAGTAATAATAACAACAGAAGTCTGCTCATTCACAAAACATTCAAGGCTGGGCACTGCAGTAAAAGTTGACAACACCTTACCAGGAACTCACTGACCCTACTTAGGCATCACAATTAAGGATAGAGTTACTACTAACCATCAGATCCATCGCTACCATCGCACGAAGTGGGATTGAGAGCGAAGTGTAGTTGCCTTCGAAACATTGCCCGATCGTCTGTATGGATGAGCTCGAATACACTTTGATGGACCACATCCGACTGTGAAGACAGTAAGAAAGCACATTACAAAAAATGATCGCAGGACATGTTCTGCATCCTGCATTCACTAATATTCATTCCCATTATAACCTGACTGTGAAATATGATAACGGGTTTTCCACTGCCAATTTCAAGTTCTGTTGTAGTTGTTAATGCCAACCAAATCCTCATTGCATACTGGGCAAAGAGGTTTATTTAAAAAAATGAATCTACTTGTCCATAATTCTCAAAAGCATTGTCTTATTTACAATTTGTGTGTGGTGTTGCTGATGCAGGAGCCGGCATTCTGTTGTGAATGCGTGTCGAAGACCGACACGGAAGAGAAGACATTCTATAATAAACTCGTTATTTTTGTTTTCCATTACGACTGAACCACTGATGTCACATGGACTATTTTAACAATGTCCTTACTACCTTTCTGGGCCTTGAATGTGGTAGTTGCATTCCTGTCTATGCAGGGGTAGAAAGCTCTCGGATTTCAACAAAACTATCTTAATTTTTTGTAAAGAAGATGAACGAAGGTCTTACGGGTTTGGAACGACATGAGGGTGAGTAAGTAATGACAGAATTTTCATTTTTGGGTGAACTATCCCTTTAACATATTGTACCGTATTACTTGTTTGGAGTGCAACTGATTGGAAAGCAAATGGAAACTTTAGTTTCCTGTGGCTCAGATTTTTAATAAGAAAGCATTAAAATCATCACATTTGTGTCCTCTAGAGATATCGCTTTACATGTTAGGCTGTATTTACTGTATATCAAAATGTAGACGCTTCCCTCTAGAGGCTTGGCATAGTAACTGCAGCTTGGCTTGCATTTTTCCTTTCTGCCTGTTTTTTCCTCCCCATCCTTTCTCTCTTTCTCCTTAGCAGGCCAATGAAAACAAAGTGTTTGCACTGTCTGTGTGTGCTAATTGCTGCAGGCTGGACGGTGTGGGATAAAAACCAGACACGGTCCAGAAACCATTCATGACAACTTGTACCAACAAACACACATTTAAAGGTTAATGAGGACACACAGGCAAGGGAGTAGAAAGAAAAGATACATATTAATTGCTCTAAAATATGTATACATGTCTCTGATATATTTACACACATATCTTCGTAAAAAATACATATATACAGTAAGAATACACAGATGGATTTAACATGTGCACAACAATTCATGAACAAAGCCACACACAGTGATGTTTGGGTAATACAAATCATAGAGGCATTCCTTTTATATAACACAATTTATTCTTATGACATGGACTTCAAAATAGAAAAAAGTAATTAGAAGTATGTGAATAGTTATTAGCAACCCAAATCACAACAGGTGTTCAGACCGCTGTGGCAGTGGGTATACATTTATGCGTTTGTGTGCAGGTGGCGCAGGCCTGCCTGACTGTGTAACCCTGGCGACCTGGACTTGCTAGAGAGGGAACGTCACACTCCAGGGAAATTGATTTAGTAAGGAAAAACAGGTACGGAATAACAAGCATAGACTATATGCACATCAACAAACACACAAAGACACCACAGTTCTTATTCACATATCATATAGGTGTATGCATATATATATATATATATATATATATTCTTTTAGTACATTCATACTGTCTGTATTGTAATATTTGTGAGTGCTTAGAGCGAGAATGTATATTTGAGTAGACATTGTGTAATGTATAGCCTACTTGCTATTATTGCAAGCTATAGGAATGAAAGGCTATTGTTAATGTGATCTATACATGCAGTCTCTACATACAATACACCACAGGAACACACACACACAAGATCTCCTTGAACTGGCAGTGGTTCACACACAGACAAACAGGTTTTGCAAGTTCTTTAATTAAGTATCCAAACATTCAATTTACCTCTCTTTGATGTTCTTTTTCTGATCTTCTCCTCTTTTATAAACAAAACCAAACTATGTCTGTTACGCACATCACAGGCTGACAAGGTGAAAGAAAAAAACACTTAGGCCTAATCGCTAGGCATTTGCAAATATTAGCTTACATAAATTTGAAAAAGCCTTCCAAACAGGACAAGGAAGAAAAGGGATGTTTCTAACAAAGACTAGTTTGTTAATACTAAAAAAACAAAACAATAAAATCCTCACTGACGCCACGGTGGTTTAACAGTAAACGAACACCTTTCCGAATAAGTAATCGAACCCAGACACCCTCAGAACTTTTTCCACAGCCTACTTTCAGTTACAGAACAGTTCGCTGTTATTGAGGCCCAGAGTATTATCCTTGCGATAACAGAAATTCATAACGGTAGGAAACGGCACGGCATGTTAAACTCTCGCAAAAGCCATTACTCTTCCTCCAGGGTGAGGAAAAAAATCGAACCAACAAATGACTGAAGAATGATACAAATGTTTCCAGGTGAATGACTCGTCAATAGATTTGATAACTATGCTGGATTTATCAATTGTCAATTAAATGACAAGCATTGTTTGAGGCTGGTATATGAACATCGATTTTCTTAAACCGGTGTTTATTTTCGTAAACTGTACAAAGTACATAAAATTTTGACGTATGACAAGACAACTAATGTTAAAAAAAGCAGGACTTCCTAAAAGAAAGGTTTTAAAGCAAACTCACCTGATGAAAGCCCAAGTAGTCCTGTATAGTTGGAGATGCATAAAACACGTAACCTTCGGTGGTGACCACCAGCACAAAGCCATTGAGGGCCTGAAAACGAAATTAGATAGAATTGTGACTGACAATACTAAAACACGGTAACTTGCAGACAAAGGTTTTATGGTTGGGATATTTAATAAAGAAAAACTGAAATGTTTTGGTTTGTTTCATGCTAAACACTTATTTTTTTAATTGTGAATTGTAAGACTGTAGATGGGTGTGAATGTAAGACTGTAGATGGGTGGGGATAATGGGGCCATTTTTCTTCTTTTACATCTTTTTTTTAGTAAACATCCCATGTAATTAGCCAAGCTTTTGTTAAGGTGTTGAACATGACAACAGACAGGGGGTGAATATCGCCGCTAGTCACGCACAGGAACCAACAGCCCTCGAACAATGGAGAGCGAGAGAGACGGAGACGGAGATGTGGCTGAAAAAGAAACTCACAATATTTGTAGGTGGAAAGTAACATGTGATATAGTTTACAAAGAAAAGATAACATTGCTCAACAGCAAAGAATGTCGATTGCTCAAACGTCATTCCTTTTCAACGAGCGTGACAACAGCTACAATAAACTAAATGTCTACCAAAATTTCTTTCATGAGTTTATGACATGGAAGTGTTTTGTTTGAGCGGGTATGGATAATCTTCATGGCTGTTGTTTATTTTATCATTTTTCCAGGGAATCAGGAAACATTTACACTTTTACCTGCTATGCACACACACAAACATATTGTGAAATTACCAACTTCTTTGCACAGCCCAGAGTGACAGTTTGCATAAATGAATACAAGATGGAGCAAATGAGGGTGTACAAAAGTGATGGATGATTTAGAAAGTAGACAGATGCTTGGCCACGACTTTTCTTGAGTTGGCAGAAACAGATTTAAGACCCCTGCATATAGCAAAGTGGTCTGACCTTAGACTGAAAAATGGGAAGAAATCCCAGCAGATGATTCTGTTCACACAAACCAGGGCATTTTAGGTGGGAAATGAGGTACAAGGTGTTTATATAGAATGTACGTAAAAAAGTGGGAGATCAGGATGGCGATTCCTGGGAATTTGCAAGGAATAAGATCAAGGAATTGGTGCGTTTACATGCATTTTACCTGCAACAACAGTTCCCCTTCTGAGAAACTGACTCCATTCAGACTGGTCGCTGACTGTCTGTTTCCTCCAAATGTCCCTGACCGGTCATTTATCCATCCATTTCCTCCTGTCTTTTTGACTGTGGCTAAAGGGAAGAAGAGAGGAAAAAGGGCATGGTTACCACCATGAGGGTCATTCTGTGTCAGTTTGATGTAAGATTTAAATTATTGTTTTAAACAATTTTGTTTTAAAACAATTCTTTTAGGCAGCTTTGAACAAAGTGCAATAATTAATTACTTTAAAACAGTACATTACCAGGAATGGGGACAGGCAAAAAGCATATAATAATAAAATAACTTCACCAGATTTGTACCAAAGATTTTACAGAAATGTAAAAGTAAAATTGGCACCAGTTATTTACTGTGTAAGCTACACCATTTTGCTGAAAAACCTACAAAAACATCACATGGCCAAGCAGCAAGCCACTTCCCTTTCACAGTTTATCCTAAAGAACTAGGACTAACATGATCAATGTGACATATTTTACTACCTCTTATCTTATTTAAAGCTACGTTTTCTCTTGAATGTGTGTTTGTGAAAGAGAGAGAGAGAGTTAACAAAGATTACGGCTGGTTAGGACTATGTGTAAGCACACACCATCAACAGTTTCCTCTCCAGATGTCAGAACTTTGTTTTTTTTATTACTTGTCTTCTCATACTTGTCTTCATGTAACAAGCAAAAATGTGTTTGAAAACAAGGGCCATTATTTTCAAGTTTACAAGGTGCTAGTCAGTGAAACTAACCGTTTATTAGCTAAAGATTCTTTCACTGAACATTTGAGTCTTGCCTCCTTTGGTTACACAAGCTACAACTTCAACATCACGTCCAAGGGCAACAAAATGTGCAAACATGTTAGAACATCAGTAAGTAACCATAGAGGTAAACTGTGAAGTAAGCTGTAAGGCAAACTGTGTGGTAAAATGTAAAATAAACTGAAGTACAATCTAAACTAAAATATGATATAGGCCTATAATATGTGATTTTACCACAAACTTTTCCTCACGTTATATCAAAGTTCAATGTATGGCAAACCTGGAGGTAAACATGAAGAAAATTATCCTATGTAAACTTAAGTCAAGAGTGTAACATTTCAGGTAAACGGAGGCAAAATGTGAGGCAAGCTCTAAGGTAAACCTGCAAGTATGTAAAGTAATGTAAACTGATGCAAAATCATAGGTAACATTTTAGGTGAACTAAGGTAAAAATATGAGGTAAATATGACCTAAAGTTTGAAACAAATGGTGTAAAAACCAGTGAACTCTGGGGTTAAAAACTGAGGCAAACTGAACTATAATCTGTGGTGAACTAAAGTAAAATATGAGGCAAAACAGAAGTAGATGTGAATTATTTTGAGATTAAATGAGGTAAAATCAGTGGTAAACTGAGGTAAAATATACGGCAAAAATTAGGTAAAGTTTGAGACTAAATGTGGTAAAATATGTGGTAAACAAACTCAGGTAAAATCTGAGGTAAACTTTGATGTAAACTAAAGAGAAAATTCTGACGTAAACTCTCTGGTAACCCACTACCTTCAGGGTAAAATAATCACTGTGGTAAACTCTGATGTAAAATCTGAGTTCACTTTTTGAAGCTCAGCACTGACCACACTGAGAAAGATTTCAACACTTCCACAGCACACACATTTTCTGCCTGAATTTACTGGACGTTTGAACACACACAAACACACACATCAACACTCCCACTTCACACAATGCAATTTGTAATGTGTAAGGAAAAAAAGTACAGTGTTTTCTAAATGGGTCTAACTTCACTACTGAACAAAAGAGCTTCAAATGACGTCATTATGAATAACATAGATAAACAACTTAGTTGAATTTCCAGTAACAGTTCCAAATTCCTGATTCTTTTTGTCTGGTTTCGCCATATTTTGCATACATTCCATTTCAGTAAAGTAAAAATGTGTAATTTAAACTTCGCATTGCTCTAAATGAATGAGAAACTAACTGATAAATCACATCTCTCAAGTTTACTGTCAAGAAGTGTGTGTAAGACTTCAGTTGGGAGAGTTTTTTGTGTGTGGAAATGTCTAGCGCTAGGTTAGCACTGAGCTAACATAAGCCAGTGGGTGCGGCTCACTAAGACATTTCCTCCCTGACCGGTGCAGATGCCGTGCTATTTCTAGACCTTATCAAACACTCTCTATCGCAACCCTTGGAGAAAAAAAACAGAAAAGACTGAAGTAAAGAAAGAGAAGGGAGGGAAAGGCGAAGAAGAAGTGGAGGAGGGGAAAGAACAGAGTTTTTCTGCTAGGGACCAAAAATATCTCCCCACAGGATGCAGATGTTGAGAGATTATTTGGCGGGGGGAAAAAGTTGAGGCGAATGCAAACCACTTTAAACATGGACTGCTGATCGGTCTGGCAGTTTAAATTGCAGACGAATGTAAAAAAAATAACAAAAAGGAAGAAAGACAGAAACAACGACAACGTTCTGTAGACGTTCACTACAGATCTTGATGGAGAAGTAAATAGGGGTGTAATACAAACTCTGCCACCACACCAAAGAAATAACTACGGATAGCAAAGAGAGCAAGGGGAAGAACTCTTGATGAGGAAAACAGACCACTTGGCCCCTAGCGCTGTCGCCGCTAGGCTTCTGAAGCTAAAGAGCGCTAACACACACAAAGTGAGCCAGCTGCTCAGGAGTCTCATAGTCTACTGACTCACATTGACAGACCAACACACAATTGTGAGCCAGCCAAAATGGGTTTGTGTTTGGTTTCGCCCCTGTTGAACCCTTTCCGACGGTCTGGACGCTTCTGGCACGCATGTCCGTCAAACATTGGCAGCCTATTGGCCATGTGGTCCCGTTCTGACTCTGTATTTAAAACTCCAGTCTTTCATAAGCATATCGAGCCTGTTATTAAAATGGAGGTTGGTGGAACATCTATGTAATCATGATCAACCTCTTCTTCACGGATCGCACTGGCCTCCACTAACCTGTTTCCAGAGATGAAAAAAATGATGAAAACGAATTCCGGCGGGCGAGTGGGCGCACTCTCAACACACACACACACACACACACAAACACAGACAATCAGAACCACCAATCAATTGCCATCTGTTCATCAGTCATTACAGTAATTCAACACACATGGCCCCTCAATGCAACCATGACGTGCTCTTTCCCTTGTGTTCCATCCCTCCGTCTGCTGTAGGTCTTCTTTATACTCTTCAATTTCGTATTGGGCATCTCTCGACCACAATCTCCAAACCAGTTCTCCACTTGACGGGTGTAACTGGAGAAAGTGGGAGGTCTGGTGTGGATGGCGATCAGGAACAGGGCGAACTTGTCTAATACGGGTCATTAAAGGGGTCATATGACATTGCTAAAAAAGAACATTATTTTGTGTATTTCTGCATTTGTGATCGGAGAAACGACAAACAGCTAGCACTGCTCTACACTGCTCAAAACTCGCGTTTGAATCATAAGTGGCAAATTCTTTAAATATGAAAACTTACTTACAAGCTGTGAGTCAGCATTATTTGTCGGAACACTGGCATTGTAGGCTACTCTCCCAGGAAACAGTCCTCGTCCTCCGTAAAATGCGCTGCTCACATCTGAATATTTGGGTTGAATTGCTCTGGAACGGTGTTGTAAATACAGCTTAACCACTGATTTCTAGTTGTGTCCTCTTTTGGAAGACCAAACAAAGTAGTTTTGCTTTCATAATGAAACACACAGCGTCTCCACGACATGGCGGAGCCGGCAACAATACTACAGCGAGAATCAAAGTTACATCATCTTTCTTTGCATGAACATTTGGGCGGTGTTATGCAAATCTTCCCACACAGTGACGTAGACATGTGGGGGCGTGTTTAAATGAGGCGTTTTAGGAGAGCGTGGACCAGTCTTAACTTTTATAAAGAATATCTCTTTGGGTTTGAGACTTTAGTCTTTGCAACTTTAGGGATCTTATCTATTCACGAACGGCTTGTAACACTCCAAAGAGAAAGGAAAACTTGAAATCGAATCATATGACCCATTTAAACCTACTGAAAGGCCCATTCTAGGTCCCGATGCCTCCCACATGATGAGCTCATCTTTTATCTGCCTCTGATCTTTTCTGTTCTGTCCTTTCTTTCAACATAAAACTCTCAGTAATTGTGCTCAAATTGGGCCAGTTTTGAATACAAGCTCGCGGCTGATTATGGAGGGCTACACCCTTTGCTGAGTCACCAGTTGTACCCAGTTGAGAGGAGGCTTTTTGACCAGAAGGTTAAGTTCTTGTTTGAGAACAACTCGACTTAATCCAACGACAATGCTTTTTTAAATATAATTACCCAGAACTGAAGTTTTCATTTAGCTGAAAACCAAAAATGAAAATACAGTTTTGGAAATCAAATTTTGAATTGGGTTAGTAATTGCAGTGTTTCCCCTGCCATTATTTTAGGGGGGCTTCCCGCAATCCCCCCCCGCACTTACTGTTTCAATCAATGATTTTGGACCTCCAAAGCTATTTTGGCCAAAACTGCCATTCAGTTTTCTGCTTTTTCAGTCAAATATTTTTGGTTGCTAAAGTGGTGCATTTACTAGTGGTGCAAGTATTAGATTACTCAATAACTATCGTCAAGATTTTCGTATCATCTACAACAGCAACCATAAAACAATGCTAGAATACAACAAAGTTGGAACAAGTTTTGAGAAAATATTACAAAGCCAAATTTTGATCTATCAGAATAAATATCAACAATACATTGTGCATAACAAAACTAGGAACATGTATAAAACAAGAAAAAAAATCATCAGGTTTTTAACAATGTTATTTTTAAAATATGTGTAACACAATGTCAGAACCACTACCGTTAACACAGCCTGGTTTCACTTTTCTGTTTGCGCCTTCATACACTACAATACTTACGACGCAAACAGCGCAGTGTTTGGGGCTCGCAGCTAAAGGCATTAGCGAATAATCAAAACAACACATTCTGCTCGCTCTCTGAGTCTGGATGGTGTCTGCAGAAAATGCGAAGGGAGGCACACTGCGTGTTGTGAGGGTTCAAGAGAGTGAGAAATGAAGACTGAGAGCGGGCGAGCAAGGGAAACCCACTGGGCTCTCGTTTG